TGCATCCCTCTTCTAGCCTTCCTCCCTTGCCCTCAGTATCAAGAAGTCCCTTTAGCTGCAGCCAGCCATTTAGGACTGGCTACAGCTTGAATTTTCCAAAAAGTGCCTGTGTTATCCACCCTTGTGACACTGAGGGCAGGCCAGGGCCACATGAACACCCCGGTACAAAAACTCCCTAGAGATTCTGCTTTGAAGGGTGCGTTCCACATACTCCACTTAAAAAAAAAAAAAAAAAAAAAAAACCTGAAAAAAAATTACGGATGGGCTACTAAGTTTTAATTTGGCATGGCCGCAGTGTGCACCTCAAATTACATTTTAGTAACACACTGCTATCTTTTCATTATTTTTAAAGGAAAGGTATGTATGTATGTGTGGAAAGTAGCCTTTGCAGCAGAATCCTCTGGGATTTGGAGGGTGCTTAGTTAGCTGTGGCCTTTCCTCACTTTCGGATAACATAGAGGCCAAGGGCTCCTTTAAAAAAGTACCTGTAAAAAAGTGTTTTGGTTGTTTATACCCCAACCCCCCCCCTTCCAAGCAGGATCCCCAAAGGATATCAATACTGCCTAAATGGTAGAAAGGTGGTGGAGTGCTGGGTACTGTAACACACATGTGGATGCAATATTCTGTCAAAGCAAAATACTGGGAGCAGGTTTTTCAAATCAGAGCATACACAATGCAGCAGACTGTTAGGAACTGGGGAACTCTACTGCTCTTGACACTTTTTGAAAAAGATGATGAGACATTGAACTATAAGAAGTAGTTAAAATTTTCTAGTAGCTGCAAATTTAAAGATAGCCAAATAGTGGAAATTTGTAGTAGGACTCTCTATTTGGGGAGAGGTTGAAAGGGTTTGATAAATGGCATTGGCTGAAAAATTAATTCATAAAAGAGAATAGACAAACATAACACCTTTCCTGTTTTATGGCATTAATTTACTGCTTTTGCCAGTCCAACTTTATTGTTTCATAGTCTATCATCCACTTGATTGTTTTTGGACAGTGTCTTTGGAAACACCCAGAACTTTGCATCTTGCCCTATAGAATCCTTTAACTTGAAAGGACATGATCCTCTGGGTTAAAGGAGAAGTGAACGGATGATCCCAAAGCTGTTTGTGCAGTTTCCTGTTGTTATTACAGTCTTTGTATCATGTTCATACCATTATTTGAAAAATAACAATTTGGAAAAAAGGAAAAAAGTCTCAAGAAAACAGAATTTTGTACAGCTGTAAATTACTGTGTCTTACATTACCAAAGTGTGGAAAGGGATTTAGCCTTGATCCAACAGCACAGCTATGTTTGGGCAATTCATATACAGCTTGCAATACTTTCATATTACTGTTCAGCAAAAAAAGATATCTTGAGTTGCCCATGTAAAGCACACTTCTCTTCATAGTGACCTGCACAGTTCTACGTTCTGATATGTATACTTCTGACTTGTACATTAGAATAAATATATAACCAATACATTTTATTTTATGTTTAAATTAAGGTCTTTAGCTTTTTGAGTGATATAGGGATAAAATATCTGTACAACATTGAGTTCCAAGGGACTTCAAGTATTGTTGAAAAATAAATATATTAACACTTACAAAAATAAAGATTTGAACATTCATGTGAGCAGTTTTACCATCCTTTTAGGATTAGATTTGTTTCTTGTGAATAAAGGTAGTGAATATTGCAGCACATTGTAATTTTGCATGTTTTTAAATCAATTATGCATTTCCATATGCATTTTATTTTACTGTCCTATTTGTCCTGTGCATGCTGAGTTTTATTGGATGTACTCATAAAGCATATTCATCATGAGCTGAGAATGTGCAACTGCACATTGCATTAATACAGCAACACTACTGACATATAAAACCACTCTCACATGTCATGATAGACTAGGAAATTTAGATATGCCTCTCTATTGCTGCAGGCTATAAAACATCAAGGGCTAAAATAGCTAATCTCCCTTGCTGTATGTTGTAAATCCTGTGACTGGGTTTAATCTACTTTCTCCTTGAGATGTGAGTCTCTCTAGCCTTGTTATAAACTCCTATTTCCAGGGAGTAAAATTGCCTGAGGGCTAGAACTTAAAATACAAGAGCTTGTTTGAGGAAGGCATCGTCTTGTAAAATGGGACAAAATGTGTACAAATTGTGATGGTGCTTTTGGAATGCAGGCAGAGTAAATAGGTTTTTATCTATTCAACAATCTCCTTGGTGCATATGTACCTGAAAACTATTTATAAAACAAACATGTTGCAGCTAATGCAAAAAAAGTTTTTACAAGGTTCTGACAGAGTACAGGGTGTTTCCATGAAGACATTAAAATACTGTAAACTATTTGCTGATATATTTTGCAAATATTAGTAGATTTGGTTTGATGAACAATTTTCTTTGAGGGCTTTTAGCTATCTGTACCATATGACCCAGTTCACACATTTCAACTGCCATTTGGGAATAAGCAAGCATACCTTTCCAGGCTGCTTGCTGGCTTTCACTTTGCTAAACAACCTAGATGTTGTGGCATCCATTAGGCACAAAACAAATCTTTTTTCTGAACTAACCACCAACCTACAATCCAGGGATACAACAGATATATGCTAATGTGATGATCCCTTGATTAGGCAAAATGGTTTGATCTATTTCTCTATTCCATAGGTGTTTAAAATTCTATATATCTTATTTATTCGCTAGTGACAAGTATTTATAGATACAGACCATGAGTTGTGCTGCCTGACCAACATCATTAAAAGCTTCTGATAATGTAGATTCAAATGCCGTAAAAGTGCTGGCACCAAACCTAGGTCCTTGAAAATGCTGCAATAGGAAGTATTGCCATTCAGCCATAGCTGACAAATTGTATTTGACATGTTGGATTAAAAATGACAAGAACTCATCAGCAGCTCTCATTAGTTTATTCAAAGTAAAAATTGTCTTATCTGTCCTAATTGGCCACACACACACACACACTCTCTCACTCACTCACTCACCCTTACCAATTTTTAGATCTAGATTGTCTTGTAAAGTCAGTCTAGCATGACAAAATGAATGGAAATGTAGTCAACATGACAACATACCCTGCACATTTTAACAGTAGAAGATATAGGGCACGGGTCCTCAAACTAAGGCCCGGGGGCCAGATCCAGCCCGCCACGCCCATTTGGACCCACCACGCCCATGCAAGTGCCCACCACTGCCCACCTTGCCCCACGCACAGGGAGGCAGCAGTTTGCTTGCGTGGAGAAAACGATCCCCAAGCGGGCAAGCCATTGCCTCGTGTGCCTGCCTCCCCTCCCCTCCCCTCCTCTTGCCATGCCACGTGCCCCATCCCCACCTCAGTGCATGCACCCACACGCACCACCTCCTCCCCCTCCCCCTCCCCAGCCCCCTGGTGTACTGCCAGCGCCACCTTTCTGGCCCACAGCTAGCACCAGCACCTTTCAATAGGTCCCCTGCTGAAAAAGTTTGCGGACCCCTGATATAGGGGAACCCTATACATTCTTCTGTGCCTAAAACCTAATGTCATCCATTTACAGAGAGGATCAAGACTAGAAAATTTGTGAACTGACCAAGGCAGATTCAATGTAACTAGAAATATAAAAATTTACTATAGGTCCATATTTAAATCTGATGACATGGAGTGAGAACTGGAAAACCAGAGCTACCTTCTTTAATTAAATTCTTTACATTGAAGGTGAGGATTTTCAATGTTTATGGAAAATGTTTATATTCATACTTTGGCAGTTCTCTAGAGGAGGGAAGTAATTCCTATTGTTAACTGTGGTCAGCTGGTGGCCACATAGTTATAAGAAACATGGGCATAAAATCCCCTGCAGGATGTAACACAGTACTGTAATTATGCAAGACAAAAATCTTAAGGGTGGAGGTAGTGGGGGAGCAAGAACAATGGAAAACAGATGGGTGAGCAATGCAATATGAACTTAATTTAAAAATAAAGTCTGTCTAGTATGAAAACATTTTAGAGTAAAGTCATTATCCTTCAGTACATAGCAAATAACTGCCAGCATTCCTAAGCAGTCTAAGTACAGGACATCTCGGAGCTAATCCACAAAACATGAAAGTAATTGTCCTTCCATAAGTGCTACCCACTAAATTGAAAAGAAGGATCAAAATCAGATATGGTTCTTGCCCCTCATTTAGTATAGTTGACATACTTATCAAGGAGAAATTGCTTATCTAAGGATTAAATGTCATTGAGTCCAGCACCCCACTGTGTTCTGGATTAGATCTGTTTTTCTTCACTACATATAGCATAAGAAGTCTAGATAAAGGTTTCCCATAAGGGGATAATTGCCACTATTGATGCAGGTATTTATAGCTATAAGAAATATGCATACAGAGCAGATGAGTCCACACAAATGAGACACACAACATTTTGCATATTAAGGCGCCAAAAATATGCTTGAAGAATTCTAGTCTCCCTTATCATTCCTAGCTGATCCCAGTAACACTGCTCTGGTTTGCATAAATGAGCTGTGTGCATGCTAGACACATGTAGACAATATGTTGAAAATGCAGTACCTGCAAATACAGAAACCAGGGATTATATGAAGGTTTAAACAACTTGGGGTTGTATATTCAAAATGTCATCTGACACACATCATAGTTCATTGTGGATTAAATAAGCCATGATGAGCCATCCACATCATGCGAATAGAATCAGTGTGTTACATGATTCACAAAATCATTGTTGAAATGATAGTTGACTCAAGCTACATACGAAAAACTCCTTTGTTAGCTTGTGAGTATCTCACATTCTTGAAAGTAAAGCACATGGCTTTCAAAGCGGCCTAATCATTAGCTGACAGTAAATTAGTAGCTTGCAAGATTAGGTTTGATGCTGTTTGTGACAAGAATTTTTTTCCTGTTTGAACTATGTTTTACAGGTATGAAACTTCTTTCCATCCAAAGATAAAGTAATCTATGGATAGAAGGTATCTCTGTGTAGTAATTTGTTGTACATACGTGACATACACTTTTCCTTTCACAGATACCTGTAGTGATTTGAACTCAGAACTACAAAGAGTACTGACGGGACTGGAGAATGTTGTCTGTGGGAGAAAGAAGAGCAGCTGCAGTTTGTCAGTGGCAGATGTGGACAGACACATCGAACAGCTCACCACTGCCAGTGAACACTGTGACTTAGCCATTAAGGTGTGGTAACATTACTTCGTTGATACCTTATTGTGTAATTTTGAACAGACCGCAGAATCGTCTTGTCATTTTCTGAGCTGCTGTCATGTTATAGAGTATTTACAACAAAGAACGGTGGCATTTTTTACGGCAGGAGTGCAGGGTTAGGTTAGATGGGCTTAACTTCACGCAGAGCTTAAAGGCAGTAGGAAATGGGCACTGTTGTCTGCAATGAGGAGGAAATTGCTGGCATTCTTTGCAGTTTCAGAAGCTTTATTTAGGTGGATGGCTGAGAAGGGAGATCAAGGGACAGCGAGTCCAGAAACATTAAAATGGAATTGTGAAGCAAAAACAATAGATGCAAGATTCCAGGGTTTAATGGTCAATGAGAACAGAGTGCTCAGAGAACAAATCTTAAAGGACCTAGTGAGATACAAGGCTTGTGCCAATGGCAAAAATAGATGTATTAGGCAGGTAGGGGTAGAAAAACTGAGATGTGGTAAGCTAAGTATAGAAAGGCATATTTAGTGTAGAAAAATTACACAAGGGTCTGAAAAACAGTGCCCTGAAGGAACCAGAGAAGGCAGAGGTATAAAAAGTCCTGGTGCTGTCAAGGAGCTGAAAAAAGAGAGAGAGAATTTGAAAAGGGCAAGACAAAAGTTTTTGTAGGAACTAGAGACAACAACCATGCCTAAAGCAACCTGGTATACACCAGATATGTTGGATAAAAGCTGCCTTTATACTTAACCATTAACCTTTCTGGTGGAAGTTGTAGTCCAAAACATCTGGAGAGCATCAAGTTGGGGAAGTCATCTTAGCTAACATAGATTAAAGCTGCCTTATACTGAATCAGACTATGGGTCCAACTAGCCTTGTATTGTCAACACTGACTGGCAGCATCTCGCCATGATTTCAGGCAAGAATTTTTGATCCATTGTTTCAAAATGCCAAGTATTGGACCTGAGACCGACTGTATGCAAAGCATGTATTCTTCCAGTGAGCTATGGTACCTTTCCAAGAGGCTTTGTATGTCTGTTTGTAAATGATTCAGTAGTATAGGGCTTTCAATTAAATAAGCTATTAAATATGGTATGCCTGCTTACTTACTGTTTTGTCAATGATGGCTTGCTATTCTTTGCAATAATGTATAACTTACCTGTAACACTGAATAGTCTCACAAATAATTTAAAAAAGAACAGCTGTAACAGCTCTCTTGTAAGATATATTACAGATAACGTTAGAAAGAAGTAAGTATATTTGTCTTCATTGACTCTTTCCATGCAGAGTCTGTGTTTGATTTCCGTGTTTTCATCCATCTTTGTCACATGCAGTTTGTGTGGGAGATATCCCAATACAGAGAAATCATTCTGCATTTGCTAAGAGGTTTTAATGGGAAACAGGATGGGTAAAAAGACTCCTTGTCCAAACATTAAGCTACATTCTTAGCATGTGCCTTAACTAAAGAGTTTAATGTCAGGTTATTAACGGCCTCATATTATAAGTTGTATGTGTTCTGTTGTTTAAAATACAATAATATTTTTCTGTTCAGAGGACAGTAAAATAATATGATGCCTAAAAGTTATAATATTCAGATTTTTGCATATAGCATTTTAAAGGACGACCTTTATCCAGAATGCTTTCTATTCAATAATTTTGCATCCTACTGTGTTCTTTGCTGTCATAAGCACTGTATTTTTTCCTCTTGTTTGGAAGTCAGTGACTTTTTTGTCACTTCTCTTTTGCTTCCTGCTCTGAGATCAAGAGGAATACTGTTGTTTTAGCTGTGGTTACCCCACTGGAGCCTGCCTTTAGCAGACAACAATCTTCAATCAATCCCTGAGGTGGTATACCACAAGTGTTTTCCTTAGATCATAATAAATTTGAGATGTGGTCTGTTATGAAGGATAAAAGAGCTCTTTCAAAAGTTCTATGAAGACAGAAGTCTGAACTCATGTATTTTGCTTATAAAAGATTATTTGTATAGATTCTTCTCACATTATACTGTGTTCAATGGCATTTCAAAGGTAATATTGGAAATACCACAAAAAGCCCCTGTTGAATTTATTCTTGAACTTCTAATTGTATAATGTAGCAATGACTCAGTGAGGAGTGGTTTACAATGCACATTAGTTTTGGATATTACAATGCTAGTAAATGTTAGCATTTTGCAATTTGCACAACTAATTCACTTAATAATGATCATATGAATGAATATCTTCCAGAATGTCCTGTCCTTGACAACCCTGCTTAGCTCTTGCAAATTCAAAGCTCTGGCTTCCTTTATGGAAACAAACCATCTCACATATGATCTTCCTCTTATTCTTCTGCCTCTGACTTTACCTAACATTATATTGTCTTTTCCAGTGATGTGCTCAAGGTATGACAGTCTCAGATTTACAGTTTTGCTTCCAGAGAAAGTTATGGCTTGATTTGATCTAGAATCCACTTGTTTGTCTGTCAGTTCAGGGTATTTGCAAAGCTGTCTTCCAGCACTGTGTTTCTGATGCTATCAAATTTCTTCCTGCCCAACTTTCACCCTCATGCATAAAGAGCAGGAGTATAATATTGTGAATTATCTTGTCCTTGGTCATCAATGAAACATCCGTACACTTGATTATCTTTTCTGGCTCCTTCATTGCTGCCCTTCCAAGTCTCAGACTTTCACTAATTTTTCTAATTTTTTTGCTGCAGTCTCCATTTGAATTTGTGATTGAGCCAAGGTATGCAAAATCTTTCACAATCTTTCACTGTTTTGTGATGTGTATTATAAAACAACTGGTTTATTTAGAAAACAACTTTTAGAGCAATTGGGTGAGATTTCTTAAGTCAGGGAAAGAGGTTGGAATTGTTATGCTTCCCTAATAGTTCAGTTAGTTGTTCCCATTTCTTTTCTAGAATAGGAAAGCTAAAAACAAAAGTGTAGGATCGTGTTGACAGGTTTTCAGAAATAAGGTAGATGAGGAAAGGTACTCTAGAAGTAAAAATGCTTGTCCTACTATCCTCCAGCATTCTCAAATAATAATTTCAACCTCAAAGGAAGTCAAAATGCAACTAATGTTTTGTTACATTTACTCTGTATGCAAACATGTGTATACATGCGTGTGTGTTTGGTCCTGCTTATTTCTAATAGTACTTGGTTTATGTGCTTCAGAGACAATGTTTAAGACCAGATTCCGGACATGCTGAGACAGCAAGAAATATTGGTATACTGCCTTGCTGTTAGGTTACTTCACACACTTAATTGTCACAAATATCTGCATATTATCAACACATTTTGCTGAGAATAAAAGCAAAAAACATGCTATTTCCAGAATACTGCTGTAACTTGCGACTTCTTGTGCAGATGCTGCTTTTGCTGCCATCAAAGAATGGCAACAAAAGTACAAAATGGAACTCAGGAGTTAAATAATTCCTTCCAGTATATGATGATTCCAGTTATGTAAGTTAAATTCTTGGGGTGAGACATGTATTAACCTTTTAGTACTGTAGCCCTTTATCGCAATCGTTGCCTGTATATCTAAAAGATACTGGCCTGTTAATTTCTCTGCTTTTGTAACTTTTTCTCATTGCACATTTTTTGTAGTATCAAAATAACTCTTTAGTAAGCCATATCAGATTAATGGTACCAACAAAGGGCTGTTTCTTAGGTCAATATGTTCATGGAATGCAAGAAGTATTTCTATATGTCAAATAGTAATATGCCTAAAACCCCGCTAGTGGGTAGATTCTGTACTTACTTATTTGTAGTTCAAGCCATGTGAGTATCTGCCGGATACTCTTGAACAATAAGAAGAAACCCTAATACAGAAAGTAGGTGCTTGTGTTTATGTTGTCTTAAATATTTGTTGCTATGTGTGCAGAGTCTGGAACAGTGGGCAATCATTTTTAACATCCTGCTCATCTGTCACTTTAAGGAGTGCTGTATGTACCTTATGTCAGCTGGCATCTTGACTCCTCGACAGGAGAGGCTGATGACTCCTATTTCAGTGGAGACCCTTATCTATCGTAAGGAGTTTTGTGAATTTTATAGGAGTTATCCATGATGATGAACCTGTTTGGGAGATTATGTTCAGCACTGTGGACAGTTCCCATGAAGCTCAGGGTAAATACTGCAATGCATAAGGAGCTCCATTGACACAGGAGACACCAGCCTCCACTGAATCTTATCAACTCTGTGCCCTTGCATGTATAAACATGAGCTTAGGTCCTCTCCATGTGAGGATAATTTCAAAACTTGGGAGATGCTGAAAGCTTAGACCAAATACAGGCAGAGCAGACACTAGAGCAGGTAGGCGTGAGTGCAGTCTTAATAACCATACATGCCCATGCTAATGCTCCAGGGATTGCTATGATGTGCTGCATGAAAGCCAGTTCCAGTGCCTATCAGGTCCTGACCGGTTGGCTTGCCATCTTCAATTCATGCTGCACAAAATCCAGGTAGAGATAAATAACACCAATTTTGTCAAGGTTCACAGCACAAGAGATTTTCTTGACTTTTTGAGGCACTTTTGAAAGTTTTACATTGGATAGTTCTAGAGTGCAATGCAGAAATAAGTTAATAAATGGAGATTCTTCTTTAATCTAATCTCCCTTTTAGGGGAAAGTTCTAACCAGGCCTGAGCAAAATTAATTATTTGAATCAATTTCATACCAGGTTAGGGTCTAGATACCCTGTTCAGAAACTACCTCAGTCACAGAAGCAGATAACCATGACTAAGAATTATATGGGGCAAGTATGTGTCTTCCCATGCTTTTAACAGTATCACCCATGGTATCCTTCTGGAGCATCTGATTGGCTTGGGAGTATATTGCTCTTTTCAGCAGATTTTCCATTCTTTTCTGTTCCATGGGTTCCAAAAGGTGAAGAATAGTTCTACACCTGTACTGTGCTATCTTCTTTCCCTTTGTGTAATCTAGCATGTAACTGAAGTCACCAGAAGAAAGACAAATTCCAAAGTATGCTCATGATGCCCATTTAATTTTCTGAAATTCCACTGAGGCAGAAGAGACCAAAATCAAAT